CCCCGCGCTCAGCCCCGGCTCTCCGTCTCCGCGCAGGTACGCGAACATCGCCGCCTTCGACGTGTACGTGGGCCTCACCAACCTGCGGGTGGCCGGCGCGCACACGCAGTGGTTCGCGGTGCACCGCGTGATCCTGCACCCCACCTACGAGGTGGGGCACCCCGTGGGCGGGGACGTGGCGCTCGTGCAGCTGCAGTCGCCCATCGAGTTCTCGGACGCCGTGCGGCCCGTGTGCCTGCCGCCGCCCACCCTGCAACTGGACGGCAGCGCGGTCTGCTGGGTCGCGGGCTGGGGGCTGGTGTCCCCGGAGGGTGAGGACGGCGGGGGGACGGCAGGGGCGCGCGTGGTCCCTGGAGCAGGGGCCGCCGTGGGGCGGGCAGGAGGTGCAGCCTGGGAAAGGCCGGGCGTACCCACGTGCCGGGGACGGTCCGAGAGCAGGCGCAAGCCCTCACGCGGACCCGAGGCTTCCCTGGGGAGCAGGAAGCACTCTGCGGCGGGGGAGGAGCTTCCGCGTGGTGGGACCCAGGCTGGGGGCCGGCCGGGCGGGGCCTGTGCCCTGAGCCCGCCCGCCTGCCGCCTGCCCCCCTGCCACCTGGCCTCCCTCTCCCCAGGCCCGCCCTCGAACCAGCTGCAGGAGGCCCAGCTGGCCCTGGTCTCGCAGACCCTGTGCAGGATCCTCTACGGGCCCTCCGCAATCCAGCCCGACATGCTGTGCGCTGGGAAGCTCGAGACCGCCTGCGAGGTGTGTCCCACTGGCTTGGTGTGGGGGCACGGCCTGGGCCTCTGCCGGGCGGGAGCCCGGACTGCCCTGTGGAGCCGTGGGAAGGGGGCGCTGCACCCCACGATCTCAGCAGGCCCTTCCTTTGCAGGGTGACTCGGGGGGCCCGCTGGTGTGCGAGGTCAACCACACGTGGGTGCAGATTGGCATCGTGAGCTGGGGCCTGGGCTGCGCCCAGCAGCTGTACCCCGCAGTGTTTGCCCGGGTTTCCCATTTCTCCCGTTGGATCCGCCACCACATGGAGAGAACACCCCCTCCGTCCCAGCCAAACTCTGCCCCGGCCCCCGCTCGGGCGTCCTTCCTCAGCGTGCTTGTGACAGCGTTGGCCGGCCTGGCAGTCTGAGGGCCACCGGAGCATGCCCGGACCCCCACGCGGCGCCTGGCCATGGCCAGGCAGGGTCAAGGCTGGGCCCAGCCGTGCCTGCAAGGGGCCGAGCGGGGAAGCGGGCTGGAGGGGGAGGCGGGAAGCGGGAGACCCCGAAGCGCAGATATTAAACGTTTTCGAAGCAGCGTCTCAGCTCCTGCCCCGTCTGTGGCCCCGAGCAGCCACGGCCTCTCCCGCCCGCCCAGCAGAGCCCAGGCCTGCCAGGCGCAGGCGTCCATCCCTGCGGCTCCCTGGGGAGCCTCTCAGGAGGCACCCGGGGGAAGCTGGGCGCACAGCCAGAGTGGAAGCAAGGAAAATAACAATAATAAAATAATAATAATAGGGGCTGGGGATTTAGCTCAGCGGCACAGCGCCTGCCTGGCGAGCGCAAGGTCGTGAGTTCAATTCCCGGTACCGGAAAAAAAAAAAAAAAAAAAGGAAGCGAGAGCACAGGTCACTGGGAAGGTTTCTAACCTGTAAGTGGAAAAGTGCTGAAAACATCAAACTTGAACCGGAGTGAGGGCGGCACAAGGGAGGGGCTGGGGGGCCCACGCGGAAGCCACCACAGAATGAGCGGGCACAGGGGCCCGGTGCCCACCGCTCCTCCTCCTGATGCAGCCACCTCGGCCGAAAATACCCGGAAGGACTGCACGAGCGCAGGGTGAGGACCGTTTCCACAGCGCTGGCGTGGCCGTCCGGTGTCGCAGTCCCTCGGAAGGGGGCTGGGCTCCGTGCGAGTCACCTGGGGCTGGGGCCCACAGGTGTGGTGCCAGCCCTGGAGCCCATCTGTAACGGGACAAGGGACACCTGTACTTCAGAGTGCTGCTTTAAATAAAGATAAAAAGGTGGGAAGAGGTCACCTCAGCAAGATAAGTAAGAACAAATACACAAAACAAGAACCGACCAGGAGGAAAACTACCGAAACAAAATGTGAGAAACCGTAAGAGAAGTACAGTTCTATGCAAGTAAATGTTAATGCAAGGAAGTAATGTTATCTTCCTGCATGGTGGCGCACGCCTGTAATCCCAGCACTCGGGAGGCTGAGGCAGGAGGATCACTGCGAGTTCAAGACCAGCCTGGGCTACAAAGTGAGCTCAAGGCCAGCCTGAATTGCATAGCGAGATCCTGTCTCCAAAAAACCCCCCAAAAAACTACCTCCTGCCGAGATAGAAAGTTTAAACAAACCAAATTCCATAAACGAAATGGGGAAGTGTGATAGAAGACATTTCCTCCCAGGGAAAGCCTCCCTGGGCGGGGTGCCTTGGGAACCGCACTGACCCAACTGCGGCCCTGGCTGGGCCCAGCCCAGGGCCGGAGAAGGTGCCTTCCCTTCCTCCCCGGGCAGGCAGGTGTGGACACAGCAGTGTGAGCTTGCCTAGTGCAAGCTTGGACAGTCCAGCCCACAGGCGCAAGTTGAGAAATCCAGTGAACCCGTGGAGTCCTGCGTTATTTTCTAAAACAGTGCTTTATAATCCAGTAGGATCTATTCCAGTCGTTTGCGGATTAAATATTAGGAAACCCATGGGTATCGTTCATCACTTCATTGCACTGCTAAAGAAGAGTATCAAAAAGTGTTTGAGAAATCCAAAACCCATTTCCAATTACAAAAAATGAGACCAAAATCAACAGTTTAAAACCGAGTTTGATGAACGGCTATAATCTCAGCATTCAAAAGGCTGAGGCGGGAGGATGGCCTGGAGTTTGAGGCCAGCCTGGGCTACATGGTGAGTTCAAGGCCAGCCTGAACTATGTAGTGAGACCCTGTCTCAAAAAGACCAAAAAAAAAAAAAAAAAAATTGACAAGAGTCAATCTCTTTCATGACAAAAGCCCAATAAACCAGGAACAACTGAGTGTGGTGCCCAGCACTCTGGGAGGCTGAGGCAGGAGGATCAAAAGAGCTCATTAATTAATAGAGCTGGAGATGTAGCTCAGTACAAAGGCTCTGGATCCAACCCCCAGGGCTGAAGAGCAGGAATGCAGGGGAACATCCTGAGCACCACAGGGCCACGTCTGACGTTCCACAGGCCCCCGACCCACTGCCCCGCGTGAGCCGGCCTGGCCCTCAGCAGGAAGAGCAGAGGCGCTCACACAGGCGGGGACAGTGGGCTCCTGTGCTCGTGCAGTGTGGCTCTGCGTTGAGAGCGTCTGTGAAGAGCCCACACGTGCAGTCATGCGTGTGCACACGCGCGCGCACGGTATGAGCTTCTTCGCAGCCCAAAGGGCCGTAGGGTCAAAGCCACACGAAAGTCGGTTGCGCAGTGTACAGCAGCGCCTCAGCTCGAGAGCAAACTTAATTCGTTCCCGCTTCTGGGAAAGATGGCCACGTTCGTGTTCTTCACCCGGCGCAGAGCTTGAGAACAAAGACAAAATTTTGCCAAATGCTTCTGCTTGTGAACCACACTGCTCACAAACACGCGTTTGTGAACTGAGGCACGCCAGACTGCTCACCGCACCGGCGAGGGCGGCAGCGTATGCTCAGAGCTGGCGGCCGGCCGCGGTGTGGGGGCTGCAGGGTCTGGGCCCCTGCGGCAGGCCCAGCTCGGCCCGCAGCGCCTGGACCCCCTCTCCCGAGTCACAGGGCCAAGGCGGGAGCCACGCTGGTGTCCACAGACGGAACGCAGGGACAGGCAGCAGTGCCCCTTCCAGCAGCCCAGCCTTTTCCACTCCGGGTCCAGCTTGCCCACATCCCCCAGGAGGCCTGTGTCCAGGACAGCAGGCATGGGCACCAGCCAGCTCCGTGGGCAGCACCTGTGAGGCCAAAGACCCTTCCCACACGCGGCCCGGGCTGGCCCCCGAGGACACCAGGGTCAGCCACGCTGAGAGGACGTCCCTTGGGTTGCTGGCAAGGGCCCACAGCCAGGGTCACACAGCTGCAGTTCCCGGCTGACATAGACAGGAGGACCGGAGCCCACACCCTCAGAGGGAACCCAGGAGGGGCTGCAGAGCAAGAGGAGGCTCAGCCCCCAGGACGCCCAGGATGGGGGCGGGGGAGCCCTGGCAGCCAGCGGGGCAGGGCGTGGGCCAGAGGTCAGGGCCTGGTCCCCGCAGAGCCCCTGTAACCACACGCTGACACCAGGCTTCCCTGCCCGGCGGCCAGAACCCCAGCCCCCTCCCTGCCCCCAGGCTGTGCCCTGCTGCACCCCACCGCCCACCTCCGTGTGCTCTTCTAGTGCTCACGGGTGCCCGGGCAGGCAGCGAGTGGGGTCATGTCCCGCTCTCGTGGACGCAGTGTGCATCCGAGTGTAGGCCCCACCCCTGCCCCACCCCATGCCCGGCCCCCACTGCGCCACCCCCATCAGGGCCTCCTGCACCCTGCAGGGCCGCCTGAGCCCTGGAGCCGGCAGTGCAAGTGCCCCCAGCTCCCCTGGCACGGTCCCTGGCGCTGCCCGGGAGGGCCGGCACCCTGCTCTGGGGTGTGAGCAGCGAGACACGAGGGAGATGCACCGACAGCTCGTTCCCGCGCAGCTCCTGCAGGGGAGCTGGCCCCGCAGGACGGGCCGAGCGCCCCACTGCTGAGGAGACTGCGGTGGCATGACGGCTGGGACCTGCTCCCCGAGTGGCCAGCCGGGGCCTTCCTGCGGGCCTGGGCCCTGGGTAGGGAGGACTCCGGACGGGGGCAGTGTGAGGGTGGACACACCGGCCTTCCGCAGCTTCTTGGCGGCGGTCACCGAACGGTGCGGGGCTTTGGACTCACGAGGCCGTGGCGGGTCGGGCTGGGGCATCGCCCCGTCCACGGGCTGGGAGGAGAACAGGATTGGGGTGGGGTCTATGCTGGCAGGGCGAGCTGCTGAGGAAACCGGGGTCCCCTGTCCCTGCAGGGCCCCACACAGCCAGTCTCGGGCCGCAGGCCCCTCCCGCTTCTGCTGGGAGGCAGCCCCCAGGGGGCGCACAGAGGAGGGGAAGGGGCTGCGGGGCTGGGTGCGCCCCCTCCACCCGCCTGGGGCTCCCCAGCCCAGGAGCCCTCCTCCCTCCCGCCCCGCCCGCTCAGGGCTCAGAGCCCCAGGCCAGCTGCTCCCTCCAGGGTGGGGCTCTTGGTTCTTCGCGCGTCCGCGCCCCGTAACTCAGTCCCCAGAGATCCCCAGAGCCTCCGGCGCCCAGCACAGCCCCGCGAGGCAGGGGGAGGGCTCTGGAGGTGGGGAGGCGCTTGGCCACTGGGGGGGGGGGGGCACTGGGGGAGGGGTCCCCAGGTCACCCAGAGGCTGGGGACCCTTGGTGGGCCGGCAGACAGCAAATGCCTCCAGGAATAAGTGTGGTGGGAACGTCGCAGGTGCCCGGGGTCCTACACATCCGGGACCTCTGGCAGAGGTCGGAGTTTCTGTTTGCAGTGAGAACACACAGCAAGGTCCTGCGACTGTCTCTTTCTGAGGCCTGAGGGAGCCACCCTCCCCTGCCTCCCTGTCGAACTCCCGTCCGTCCCCTCTGTCCCCCACAGGGCGCCCGGCGGGTGGCTGGGGTGCAGGGAGGGGACACCCTGGGGAGCCCTGAGGGGAGGGTATGGCCAGGCTCTGTGGGCCCCAGTCAAGCCCCCAGCCCTGCGGAAGCAGAGGGACCCCAGGGCGCACCCCTCCCCAGAGCCAGCCACGGGGCCCCCCCTGGCCGCGGCAGCGCCCGGCAGAGGCTCGGTCTGCGCTGCGGCGGCTGCCGGCCACGGCCACGCTGTGTGGTCCTTGTGGGAGGCTTCATTTATTTTTCTTTCTTTTCCCCTCCTCTTCCCTTTTCATAAAACACGAGGGAGCGGAAGGCAGACCTGACGGCCATCCGTGCCCGCCTGAGACCCGTTGAGCGCGGAGCAGCGGGCCCGTCACACCCCCCGCCAGGCCGCCGGCCTGCAGGTCCCACAGCACCCACCTGGCTGACTTCCTCAGGTGATGGCGCCTCTGCCAGTCCCCGGAGCGCCGCCACCCCCAGCCGGGGCAGCCCGCTGACGGTGGCACACGGTGGCCCCAAACCTGTGGTCCCAAGCTGCCGTCCAGCACCCACCCCAGCCGCACCAGCGAGCACACCTGCACAGCCACCGCCTGGCCTGGCCTCCCTTCAGGGCCCTCCTGCCTGGGCTGCAGGGCCTCCTGTCCTCGCTGGGCCACAGACTGCCACCAGCCAGCCGTGCCCCTCACTGCCACCAGGACGGGGCCAGGCCTCCTGGAG